GCGGGATTTTTTGCAAGTTGCAATTTATTCCCGATTCCATTTTCATCCACACGGTTTAAGGCACCCAGACAGCACTGCTAGCAAGCAAGGGATTATGTTTGCATCGCTCATTCACATTAGAATGGTTATCCTTTAGATGCAAAACCCCATCATGCACTGCAACATATTTTTGCAGAATATTCCAACATAAGTTATATAACATAAAATATAAGCGGAACATGGTGGTTTGGTTTAAATGTTTTCTTTGTTTTATTATAATTTAGTTTGTTGCAAGGATTTAACAGTTTGAAGAAATAGAAAATGACACCATAGGCCAAGGATGTTCATGAAAAGGAAGGGTTATATATACTGCAGGCATCATTTAGGTAGTTAACATTGTATTACTTCTGGAGCTCCTTGAGTTATTTACTGTCACAGGTAGAGCTAGAGCTGGAGAGTAAGAGTTGGGGCCAGTTTGATTTAAGCAGGGGCCGGCCCTCACACGCTGAAATTAGACCGGCCTGCCCGGTATCACAGATTACCAGTCCGAGCCTGGAGCTAGTAGCTAGCATACACGAGGGTTTTAAATTATTCTTAAGTCATATTTTAGCATTCAAATATATTAAGCATATCAGGGAAACACATAAACATTAATGTCATATTGGTCAAACCTTTATTAAAAAGCTGAAAACTTGTTTGCATTTTTTTAGCTACCATGCGGCTAAATGAAAGTATGTTTAACACCCTTTAAGGTTGTTTTGTTTTTATTCCAATATATGTGTTTTATTTAGAAGAATTGTCTCATTAGATCAAACCTTTTAGTTCCACGAAGCGACAGACAGGAGAGGTGGCTGCACTGCAAAAACGTTCTGAAAATTAGGGGGAAAATTCTTTAAATAAGTGTATTTAACCTTAATTTAGTAGGAAAATAAGATGATCTGCCAATGGAATTAGCGTTCTTGCCCTTAAAATAAGAAAATCAGATATTATGTACTTGAAATGAGAGACTGCAGATCTTTTTTTCTTATTTTAAATGTAGATTGTTTTATTCCGTAGGCAAAGTGTCTCACTAACCTTCTCAATTCAAGAAAAAAATGCAGAAAAAATATCTTGATTACATGATTTACATTTTTTGCAGTGTGTGTTTAAAAATTAATAAGTGATTTGATTTTAATCAAATCTGACATGGTCTCTGTATTCAAACATGAACTTTCTTTTCTATGAGTTTAAACCTTCAAGCAATTAATAAATCCCCCTTAAATATAATTTTTAAATTGTTTTTCTTCTTCTGCAGAATGAAAATGAAAGAGAAGTTTGAGACCAAACCAGACATGTCGCCTGCTGAGACGGGTAACTCAGCTTTTTTTTTCTCTAAAGAACCTAATCTTTTAAATAAAAGATAAATTACTTTAAATAGCACGTTGACCGACTTGTACAGGTTTGCGTTTTCTCATTATGTGTCTTGGATTTCTCTCCCTATGCGCTCCAGCCTCCCTTCTTTGGAAGAACGGCGATGGTATAACGACCCCTTCCCTCTTCTCCTGCACTCGTTGCTTTTTCTCACACTTGTCTGGCTTGTCTGCATGCTTTAGACAATGTACTTAAACTGGACAGAGCTGCCTGGGGTTAAATCGTCCTCTGTTAAAAGGAAGAGCCTGATTGGCTGAGCTCTGTAGAAAAAAAAAAGCCCTCCTAACAGATGCAGCTCAAACCTTCACCAGTTTGACCGATGGCTAAAGTAAATGTGATGCTTATTATCAAGATGCTGCTGCAGATTCATTGAGTTTTCCTGCTTCCTTTACCATTTTAATGCCATTTGTCAAATGTGGAGTGCCCTGTTTTAATATTCATTTGTGCTGTTCACCCTCATTCATTTTTTTCCCCCCTACTTTTGTCACATTACTGCTCCAACTCAGACTCTCGAATGAATGTTATGTGGCTGATACAGTGTAGCACATACTTCAGACATGGGGAGAGGTTAAAAGCTTCATGGTACGCAGCTCAGACGGGACTAACACGTTTTTAGCAGACCTGAAGGAAAAACCTGTAGGAGGCTGTAAACAACTTAAAGGAATATTGTGTAAGACTTCCTGCAATCTACCAACCAACCAAGAACCGACACCTTAGAAATCAAAATACAGATGTGAGGACTCTGAAAGTGTTTTAAAGCATCCTTTTTTAAAGGATCTTTCTTAACCTGTGAGTCATAATCACCAAAATTAACAGAAATAAGAGCTTAAATATTTAATAGGGCTGGTCAACAATTAAAAGTTTTAATCGCGATTAATCTCATGATTTCCCTGATTAATTGTTATTAATCACATTTTTATACGCAAAAAAACAATAATGAATTCAAAAGTAGTGTATAGCACAATTTTATTTTAAATGTTCTGCCATATTAAAGGAAGTGACATAACATTTGTTCTGAAAACACTTAACATTAGCATTTTGTTTATACAGTAGCAGTTAAATAAAAACTGCCCACAAAATTAACATTAAAACAGGCCATTTCTGAGGTAACAGCAGAAACATTTTTTTTTTTTTATCAGGGAGCAGCATAACCAGTCTAGTACCAAATGTCCCTGTTAGAGTGAGGTGAAGCACAAAAAAAAAGTTCACTGCTGGGATTTATGTGCAGGGAAATGGTCTGTAAATATACTAATTGGCCTGCAGTCTGTAGCGATCCACTTCACTATGGCATTTGTTAGCTTCTCTTGCCTTTGTTTATCTATACTTCTCCCACACCCTGCATCTAACATAGTCTGCTGAAGCCTCGCGCCGCTGTCTGTTATGAAATTATTTGCTGGTATCAACTGTGTGTTTTGCATTTAGGTGATATTTTAGACTCGAAGCACTCCGGTGATAAGACAATTCAACCTTGCAGTGATTACAAATAACTTTGCTTCTGTCGACCGCGCCGTCTGAAAGAACTTTAAAATGAAAATGGCCAATTAAATGTGCCGTACCCTTCTCCATGTTTGTTGGTTTGTGCATTAAAATCATTAAAAGTAGTTAAATTATTATTCATTAAATTAAGGCCTTAATTGGCATTAAGTGTGCTTTAAAATGCCTTAACTAAAAAAAAAAAAAAAAAAAAAAAAAACGATTATAGGAACTGCTTCCAGTTGATGGTAAAGCTGTATGTTCGTAAAAGAAGCTTGATGTGGAGAAAAAGCTAGAGAATGGGGAAAATGCTTATTTAAACAACAGTGTCTGGAAAATGAGTAATTTGGGACATATATATATATATATATATATGATGCCAAAAATTGCAGAAAATAAATATGAATACTTGGGAAAAGGATTTTAACTACTTTCACAGAACAGCAGTTCTAGCACCATCTAGAAATTAATTGTCTTCAAAATTCATAGTGAGTGCCTCTATAGCAGAGGTAATACTTATATCATATGTTATTATGCCTTAAGACATTTTTCGGTTGCGTTTTGTGAAGAAAATAACAATAACCACAGAATATTAACTTTGATCAAAAGTATTAATGAACATTTTCCTTGAGGTGCTTTGATTTTTCCATTAGTATCTGTAGCACTCCTAAACCTCCCTGCTGCCTCCACTGGTGAGGGATGTGGGAAAACTAACCGGTATTGGCTGTACTAGTGTCTGCGTTTAAAGTAGGATTTATTCTGGCTTTTTAAATGTTTATCTTCATTTACAGGAAAGATTCCAGCCTCTCCGTACGAGTATGGCTCCTTTGGTGAGTCAAGTGCTGATGTGCTTCCTTGAATCTCTCAGTGGTTATTTAAATTACGTTTTTTCTTCTTCTACCAGCGGACAACGGCAGCACGCTGAGCTCCGAGGCCATCACTGACAGCGCCACATCAACCGACAACAACTACGGATACCTGGGTAGGAGCTCAAACGGACCCCGGCGCTCCGCCTTTAGCTCATCAGTCACCCTGTAAGGCCGCCTTGTGGCCAGTGGTCCGCTTCTCTGCAACCGTTCTGTCTTTGCTCATCAGGAAAGGAGCCTTTCAAACGCCGACCGTTCCTCGGTCACCATCACGGCGTAGCCGTCCGCATCGGTGACACCCTGCCACGCAGTCCCCCTCTAATCAGACCCAAGATTTAGTCCCAACCAATCAGCACTGTGCTAATCACACCCAAATATGGTTCAAATTTCAGAGATGGGCCCAGATTATAATGACTTGATGCAACCCTGATGAACTATTAAATGATTCAGAGCAGCACTGCAAATCATTTTTAAAATTTTATGAGGCTTTTGGGCATTAGTGCTTCCATTTTCCTTTCGCATAAAAATGGCGTCTTTCCAATCTGTGTAACAGTCTCTCCTTCCCCCATCAGAGCGATCACTGGACAGCATTGCACGGAGCAGGCAGGAGTCGTTAAGCTCTGTGGAGGAGGATGACTACGACACGCTGGACGACATCGACTCCGACAAAAACATCGTCCGCACAAAGGTAGGCCTCAAAATCGCGGCTTTTCTCTGATTCATTTAAACCTCCACACTGATGATGCTTAATCTGGGGGATCAACAGGAAGTAATAGTGCAAGGTGGTGGCGGCATAATGCTGTGGGGGATGCCGTTCTCAGCTGGCCAGAGGTGATGGGAAGATAGAACGATTTGGATGAAAGCATATTTACAGCCCAGATGTAGAATTGAATGGATGTTGACAGAGGCTATGAATTAAATCTAAATGAGGAAAATTAGAGCGGTAAAAATGAACTAAAAAGCATGATTAAGATTTTAATTTAATTTTCCTAGGCACTAATCAAAGGACTGTGTTTTCATGACCTTTAAAGCCTGCATGTCAAAATTTTATCGTGTTACTGCAGCCATTACTTTACTAGCATGCATGGATCTACGCGTTAGCAGCAATTCTATTTGCTTCTGAGAAAGTAATTTTGTTTTGTTCTTATTAACATCTCAAAACACACCAGGTCGCCAACGCGTTTTAAAGCGTTTACATCTAATAACTCAGAATGCATGAAAATTACACTGGTAAAATGTTTATCAATATAGACATGTTAGACATAGTTGGAAAGCTTAGATTCTCCACAATTCAAATACCAAGTTCATTTTATGGACACAGTGAGCACCAAAGCACAATTAACACAGATATAGCAGCATGTCAAAATGTAAACACGACAAAGCAACAACAACAAGCCAGCATGACTTTACAGGGTTTCCGTGGGTCATCATTAAAAGTAATTCAATTATAATTTTTTTTATTAATAAAAATTAGATTAAATGTGATTATTGTGGCATTTAAAAGGATTTTTTTTTTAAGTTTATAAAAACAATTTTCGCAGATATATTATATCGCAATATATTTCTAATAGCATTAAAAAGCATTATATTAGACTTACTCATTCCTTTATAAATTCTGCATTATTACTACTGTTCAAAAATTACCTTTTATTTTTGAGAATAAAAAAATAAGCTGTGTTTTACTCACGCAATTTCCGTATATATATATATAAACTAGAAGGTGTTAGCTTTCAAATAATGTATCATACATGTAATTTGGGCCTACAGTTCCTAAGTTATTTGCTTTTCCATTCGGGTATTCAAAATAGGTGAGGATTTCTCAAAATGAGGTGGATGTTACAGTAAGAGGTTAAAGGTCATAGCTTCATGTGAAAACTATAAATTTATCAATGATAAGACACCCAGAGAAATCTAGAGTCCTGAAGAATAAAAGCATTAACTTTACCAATAAGGAAAATACATTTTGAGCAAAGAGGCTCAGAAAAAAAACGTGGAGGTTGGTGCTTTCCTTCTGGACAGATGTGTTTGCTAATGCTAACCATTAGCCTGGGCGGACCCGGCTATTAGCTGAGTGAAGTTGGCCCCCCCACCTTCTTCAAATCAGAGAAAATTTGTGTCAAACGTTTGTGCTGGTTTGTGCAGCAAAAATTTTTGTTTGTGCCTTTTTCGTTTTAAAGATATAAAGAAATATTTCTAGAGGTCATCAAAGGTCAACCAGCCCCCCCACCTTCTTCAGATCAGACGAAATGGGTGTCAATTAACTCAGCTCCGTTTGTGCTGGTTTGTGCAGCAAATTTTTTTATTTGTGCTGCTTTGGATTTGAAGATATTAATGAAAATGTAAACACAAACGGAGCTAAGTTAATTGACACCCATTTCGTCTGATTTGAAGAAGGTGGGGGGGGGGGTTGACCTTTCGATGACCTCTAGAAATATTTCTTTATATCTTTAAAACGATAGCGGCACAAACGAAAATTTTTGCTGCACAAACCAGCACAAACGTAGAACAAACGTTTGACACTAATTTTGTCTGATTTGAAGGAGGTGGGGGCCAAAAAAAGAGCGAGTGCACCACCTGCTGACTGGGAGGAGTTAAACTTGTAGCCATCACCTTTTTGACCAAAACGGATCACCTTTGATTTTTAAAAATTGCGATTATATTGCAGATGTCAGTATTCTAAGCTCTGCTGTTGATTCCTTTTACAGAAGTACCTGTGTGTGGCTGACCTGGCTCGCAAAGACAAGAGGGTTCTCAGCAAGAAGTACCAAATCTACTTCTGGTGAGTCCGCTGCTCAGTGGCTAGAGAGGAGTTAAACCCTTGGCATTTAGATACATCTATGTACCTTTGGACATTTTAAGATCCCTCATATATTTCTTGTTGCAGCTCATTGAATAACCTGGAATATTTTAGTCTTTATGAACAAAAAAAAACGATGTCCTCTTAAGAGGAAAATTTATAAAGTGACATTTGTGGCATGTTTTATGGCCTGATTTCTGTGGCAATGTGCTAAAATAGTCATAGTATAATCAAATGTAGACATTAATTATAATTATCTTGTTCTAACTGCGGTTCTCTCCTCAGGAACATCGCCACCATAGCTGTGTTCTACGCGCTCCCCGTCATCCAGCTGGTCATCACCTATCAGACGGTACGTTGACGAGGAACAAGCGGCCGCTAAAGCAGCGCACTGTCCGACATCCTTCCAAACATTCACAACGCTTCTCTGGTCCTCAGGTCGTCAACGTGACAGGAAATCAAGACATCTGCTACTATAACTTCCTGTGCGCCCACCCCCTGGGTGCTCTGAGGTGCGTTTCCTTCGGTGTAGCTGTGTGACGCTTTCAGTGCGCTAACCATAACTGACCTGGCTTTTGTCTGCGCAGTGCGTTCAACAACATCCTCAGTAACCTTGGCTACGTGTTGCTGGGGCTCCTGTTCCTCTTCATCGTCCTAAAGAGAGACGTCGCACACAAACGGGCGCTGGATCGCAACAACCTCAACGCGCTGGTGAGACCATGTTCCACAGAAGGAGCCATGCTTGCTGATGCTCTAAGCTACATGATGCAGCATCCTGTAATCTTTCCTCTGCAGGAGTGTGGCATTCCGAAGCATTTCGGGGTTTACTACGCCATGGGAACCGCGCTGATGATGGAGGGCTTGCTCAGTGCGTGCTACCATGTCTGTCCAAACTACACCAACTTCCAGTTTGGTAGGAATTGCTCTTGTGTCCAATGTTCTTTGTAACCAGGAAGTAGACCCATTTCTAGTATTTTCTATGAACTCTGCGTTGTGGTTTCCTCCCCTCCCAGACACCTCCTTCATGTACATGATCGCAGGGCTGTGCATGTTGAAGCTGTATCAGAAGAGACACCCCGACATCAACGCCAGTGCCTACACCGCCTACGCCTGCCTGGCGGCGGTCATCTTTTTCTCCGTGCTGGGGGTGGTACGCTCACACACGCAAACGCACCTCGCAGCAGCCGTGTTGGAGCTGTTGGTAATCGTGCTTCAGGATGCTGCTTCTCTGTTTTGTTTTTGCAGGTTTTTGGGAAAGGAAACATGGTGTTCTGGATCGTTTTCTCTGTCATCCACATCCTGGCCACCCTGTTCCTCAGCACACAGCTCTACTACATGGGCCGATGGCGGCTCGGTACGGTCACAACACTAAACACCATAAGCAGTTTAAGTAGTTTACTTCTTTCCCTGGTCCCTGGTCTCACACCTCTGATTGAATGCTACAGGCATTGAAGATGTTCTCTAGGGATATTAAAATGTTCTGTTTTCATTTATGATTTGATTCCTTTTATAATGGACTGAGATCACAGAATTTATGTTTATTTTATGTTTTTTCTCTTGCAAGAAGTTGAACCTCAGTTTCATTGAAGTCTTCAACAGTCTAACAGGTTGAGTTCCTGATTGGCACCCCTCTTTGCTTAATGCTACGTTCACACCGCAAGCAGCAGAAGCAGCTAGTTTACATGCAAAGTCAACGGTTGACGCGCATCTCGGCGCAGCGAAAGGTTCTGCAGCGCGTCGCGCTCCAGAAGCAGCAGCTGGTGTTGCTGGAAAAATTTAACTTTAGCTGCTCGACGCGCTACATCAACCAATCAGAGAAGCTGATCTGGGAGCTGGCAGGGAGACAGACACATCGCTGCTGATGCAGAGCGCTATCATCTCTCCTCTGAAACAGTTTATTTATCCCTAAATAAACATAAAATGTTGAAACCTGCCAGTAAAATATGTTTGCGTTTATTATCCTGGTGCCTGCCGTTTGGATTACGTACGTTAAAAAAAAAAACGCTGTCATCTACTTCCAGCCGCCGCAAGCAGTAGCAGAAAACGCTAAAGCGAAGAGGCGACTGGGCCAGAGGCTGTCGGGATTCCTAATGAGGGCGCAGCACCGGTGTATACGGGTCTGAGCGCCTCCAACAGCGAAATAATATGTAGGCAGGATCGTAATCTTGATGAATTGACATCACAGAAGTTTTCAGGTGGACTATTAAAATTAGTTTTTACCCACTGATGACAGCAATTAGTTTTTACCCACTGATGACAGCAAATAGAGCTGCCAATGTAACAGGCAGAAAGCATTAGGTAGCTCCGCCCAACACGCATTAAACCCACTTTTCAACCGCGCAGCCAGAGCAGCACATGCTTCAGCCGCGCGTCAGAACTAAACCTGTACAAGCATCAAAAATGAAGCAGCGAGCGCGTTTCTGTTGCCTCTGCTTGCGGTCTGAATGTAGCATAAGAACAGCCCCCACAGCATTATGCTGCCACCACCAGGCTTCACAGTGAGGATTTTATATTCAGAATGATCTGCTTTGACGGTGCTACTCGCTGTGTCATGCTTTTGGCAAACTACAGGTTTATGTCTTTCTAATTTGGATTCGTTCATTAAAGCCAGACTAAGACTTATACAGCTAATAGAAGGTGACCGATTCTCACGCCTTTGGTTCTCTGATCCTTCACCAGAGTTACCTTTGGGCTCCTTAAATGTCTTATGATACATTTACTGCTTGATGTATGACTTTACTTCTCCTCTGCTGCTGTGTGAAGCTTAGAGGAGCAGCAAAAAATGACATTATAAATATGGAGATACGTTCTCTGAACTGTAAAAGGGTTCAGATTATTTAAGTTAATATTTAAAGCCCAGTATTTAATCAAATAAGTGTTAATTTGGGGTAAAGGGACCAAATCAGTTCATCTGGAGGTTTGATTAATTGGGACTGATCAGAGGGAGCAAGTTGTCAAAGCTCATTTTATCCACTGTTTCAGTTCCTCTATTTCTTTTTAACAAACTATAAATATCGCTGGGGATTTTTACCTCTAATATGTTGCCTTTTTATTGATTGGTTCTCTTACCTGTTTGTGTTTATTAGACTCTGGTGTCCTGCGCCGCATCGTTTATGTGCTCTACACTGACTGCATCAGACAGTGCAGTGGACCCATGTACATCGTGAGTAAAAACCATTTTACAACCTTGAAATGAAACACTTTCACCATTTTATGGTTTTCCTAAATAGAGATATAATTAGAGAGAGACACATTGGCAGGCTGATTTTATAAGCTGGAACACGCTTTTTATTTTTCTTATTTTATGTCATTGACATCACCAAGTGCATGCATGCATTTATTACCTCTCGGTTCCACTGGACATGCAGCAGCTGGGCAGCGGCTTCTTCCACCGGTAGTCTGTGCGGTTGGATCATTTCAGGATCACATCACAGCACTCTAGATGAAGCAGCATAATGTTCATTTTACCGATTCTACCAGCAGCTCTTTATTTAATCACGGGATGTTTTTTTTTTTTTTCCATCTAGGGTTTCAGTCAAATTGATTCAAAGTTTTCTATGTAAGGAAAACCAGTTGATTGCATCCATTTATTGACTTGAAGGTAATCCCTCACACTAAGCATGCTTGTAGCAACAGTGGAGAGGAAAAACTCCCTTTTAACAGGAAGAAACCTCCAGCAGAACCAGGCTCAGTGTGAGTGTCCATCTAGAGACTGAACTAACAAATTCTTCAGAGTGGGAGAATAGAGAGAAAATGAAGCAGAATGATGAAAAAGAGGGTCCCTATGTCCTCCAGCAGTCTAAGCCTATAGCAGCATAACTATAGAGATAGCTCAAGATAACCTAAGCCACTCTAACTATAAGCTTTATCAAAAAGGAAAGTTTTAATCCTACCGTTAAAAGTAGACAGTGTCGACTGGATCTACTTTGCTTTTCATCAACTGACTTCCTGCCTGAACTATTCGCTTTGCTCCAAATCAACGTGGATTTGAAGTGGAGAAATAGAACAGCTGCCTATTTTATAGAAGCTTTGAGTGAAACCACTCTGACTTTGCTACGATCAGCCCTGCAGAGCCGCACTGCTTCCGCTTCCAGTGAAATCGAGGGGTCGGTTTATTCATGCACATGCATCTTTGTTTCCATTGAGATTTGTATTATGTTGCTTTTCTCATGTGAATAAAAGAAAAAAATACTGCTACAAAAACTTGCTACCTAAAAGTTGGCAGCACATATCTGGGATCAGTCAGACTGATGTCTAAATAATTGGTATCAGCCCTAAAAAAACCTGCATCTGTTGATCTACTAACTAGAAGAATAAAGTTTTAGATGTGAGTTTAAATGCAAGCTTTCTCTTCCAGGACCGTATGGTGCTGCTTGTAATGGGTAATATAGTCAACTGGTCTCTGTGAGTAAACACACTGTCTGAGGTTTGTTCAGAGCTGCAGTCTGGAGCTTCACCTCTAACGGCCATTTCCTGTCTGCAGCGCCGCCTACGGGCTCATAGAGAGACCCAACGACTTCGCCTCCTACCTGCTGGCCATCGCCATCTGCAACCTGCTGCTTTACTTTGCCTTCTACATCATCATGAAGGTGAGTGTTTTGGATATCGGCACCATGGTACGCCATGTTTGAACACATTTGGTCACTGTTATCTTTGTTTCAGCTGCGGAGCGGCGAGAGAATCAAATGTCTGCCGTTGGTGTGTATTCTCTTCACGGCGGTGGTGTGGGGGTTCGCGCTCTACTTCTTCTTCCAGGGACTCAGCACCTGGCAGGTCAGCAGCTCAGAGCGCATGCTCACACATGGATTAGAACAACACTGAATGGAGAATTCATTCCTGCGATTCGGATTTAAAACATTTATCACACAAGAGAAATATCTCAGGCATTTATCTATTACCTTCTTTGGTACCAAATGTTAAACTTTGTTCTAGAAACAATCATGGGGAAACTGACAGTTGGTCAGTAGTTGGGTTTCATTACAAATGTGAGCAAGACTCCACATTCTGCGAATTTCAAAAATAATAATTTTAGCAATTGCTTTACTTCCATTAAAAAAGAATCTATTTAAAATGCACATATGTGTGTTCATGCGATAACTTTCAAAAAACTTGGCAGAAGCAAAAGTACAAAAGTAAACAAATTTGAGATCTTTGTTTCAGCCACACTGTAGTGCCTAACGCTACCTGATCCGTACCATCATCTCCTTTGCACATGTGCAAGCAGATATCCATCCAGGTTGCAATAAATAATGTAATTATGGTACCAAAAGTACTTATTTCTATCCTTAAATCACTAAAGAATGCTAAGACACATCTACAAAATTTCTGAGACAAATGTTATGCTTTTTACATTTTCACAATTAAACTGCTTCTCTGACGTCAATATCGGACATGCTCAAAGCAAAATATGATTAAACCGTTTATCTTTATTTTAGTTGTTTCGTTCATTAGATTATGCACTGTATACCTAGCCTCGTGAGACCATCCTGATCTCGCAAGCTTTCAAGGTTTAACTCGCAGATCAGTCTGGAGACTCTCCGTTAAAGAAAATTTGGAGCCATTCATCAAACGAACGTCCAATCAGCGTTGGCTTTGAGGCGGGTTGAGGTGTGATGCTACGAGAAACGCGACAGTTCAGTCTAAAGAACATGGCGGCTTCAGCCGATGAAACTAGCGTTAGCGTGGCTATCGAGCAAGTTTTATCGGAATTACAGAGTATTTCTTCACTGAAAGAAGAGCAAAACACTGCTCTGGAGGCTTTTCTCAGAGGAAAAGATGTTTTAGCTCTTCTCCCGACTGGTTTCGGCAAGAGTTTGATCTATCAATTGGCTCCTCTTCGTCGTCACTCTGTTACGTCATATGCTTCGTTGTTCTGATTGGTTTATTTGGCCCGTCTATCACCAACATAGGCCAATCAGCTAACCAGTATTTTCGCCCCTTCCCAAAATTACTTCAACCGAAGGTTTCCAGATGGATATGCGGAGCAAATCCATCTGGCGGAGTCAGGTTACTCTATACCATGTTAATAGGAAAACAAATAATAAAACTCCAAAAGGCTAGATTTATGTTTAAATACAAAGCCGAAAAACGTTAGCTCCCAGAAGTAGGATCCAATTTCTGGTGAGGATCGGGCACAGACGAATGATAAAACAGAAAGGATTTTTATACATTTGTTTTTTAAGGAAATACCTTATTAATTCAACACAGTATATTTAAGCACACTTACTAATTTTCTGAGGGAAAAAGGTAATTTAGCTCTTTTTATAGAGTAAAATTTTAGAGAGTAAAATTAAAGGGTGACCTGGATGTATATCTGGTTGCACATGTGTAATTGAGCTGATTGTACGGATCGGGTAGTGACGGTGCTCACTGTTATCAACATCGCTCACTAATGTCTCCGTCGCAGAGTTTCGATCAAATAATTCAATTTCAAAATTGTAATGTTACCATTTACTGTAATTTTTGGACAATTAGCCACACCTGAATATAAGCCGCAGAAGCTAAATTGCATGATTTGTACATATACAAGCAGCAACGGACTATAAGCCGCAGGTTTTTTATGTTTAATGTCCGTCTTTCTCGCTGTCGTTCTGTCTCGTACCACCTCGCGGTAGAAGTCTGCTTCCGGAGGACCTCGGCATTCCCGCGCACGCGGCTACCGTACTTGTGTGTCGAAGCAAATGTGACATCAACATGGTGGATGGTAAAATCCATAGATTTAGGTATTACCCTAGTGGCCGTTAGCTGTAAAAGTCCATAGATAAGCTGCATTGTTATATAAGCCGCAAGGTCGGAAAACGGGGGAAAAGTCGCGGCTTATAGTCTGAAAATTACGGTAGTAGATTTATTTTTTTTTTTTTAAACAATTTGTGAAAGTTTATGGCTGATGGAATCGTACCTACTGGTAAAGAGGTTATGCTAGTATAGAAGAAGGGAGGGAATTTTGTTCCATTATTGTTGGAAGTAAAGAACAGGTTTTGTTAATGGAAATTAAAAAAAAAAGGGTATTTTCAATCTGTGCTTTTCTTAATTATTTCCACTTTTTTTTTTTTACTGATTTTTATATGAACATTTTCTTATTTCAAATTTTTATTTTTGGAGTTTTCAATGGCTTTTATTTCACATTCTCTTCACTTTAGGCCCACAACAAACACTCCAGAGGAAAGAAGAGAAAATAGTTATTAAAAATCTGAGAAAACCGCAAAGATACTCTTGAAACATTTTTCAAAGTTTCATTTCTGTTTGTTTTTTCTTTTTTTTTCTTCCAATTTTCATTCACAAAACATGTTCTTTTCTTTTACCAATAATGGAACAATATTCCCTGTAAAGACTAGAAGGCCGAATGAGGTTCTAAAACGGTTTATTTTAGCTGCAGCTGTTTGAGCCGCTCCTGTGTCTCACCTGGACTAAGGAGAACCAGATCTGGACTGTAGCTCAGGAAACTAAAGTCCTTTTTTCAGATGAAAATAAGGTTTAAATCTACATTTAAATCAGGGTCACAGAGTCTGAAGGAAAAGTAGACGAGAAAGGAGCTACGTTGCTTGAATTGGTTCTGATCCGTTGCTTTTCCTGAAGTCATCTAGAAGATCTTCCATTAATCTTTTTTAATTAACCAAATTAAAAGCTTGAAATCTTATGGTTTTTCAGTCATTCATCAAAGTGTTTCTTATTTTTATTTAATTTCTGGTGATATTCTGATTCCTTCAGATGGAAACGTTATGAATTTCTAAGCACCTTCTTTTTTTCCAGAAAACTCCAGCTGAGTCTCGAGAGCATAACCGAGACTGCATCCTGTTGTCTTTCTTTGACGACCACGACATCTGGCACTTCCTGTCCTCCATCGCCATGTTCGGGTCCTTCCTGGTAGGTGTTATCAGAGCGATCTATCCGTGTGAAGCTGATGCAGAACTGGCCACATGTCGGACTCTCTCCTCTCTGCCCTCATAGGTCCTGCTGACCATGGACGACGACCTCGACACCGTTCAGAGAGACAAGATCTACGTCTTCTAAACCCGTTGGGTTTTCTTTGAGGAGCTCGGCTCATCCTCTCTGCCTTATCACCTGTTTCCTCTGTAGAAGCACAGCCAGTAGCCTGTTCAGCTAGCAGGCCTCTGCCTCTCAGAGCCACCCCCTCGCCCCCACCTGGGAGGACACACATGTGCCATTTCAGAGCTGAATCGTCGATCGATGCTGAAGTGTTTCGTCCTCCTGCCGCCATCATGGATGTTACTGTTGCTCTCCATGTTTACGTCCTGCTGCTGCTGATGATGAAGACAACAATGCAAACACTGAACTTGTGTCTCCATTCTTTTTCTACGGTTCTGAATATGGATGAGCCTGCAGGAAAAGATGCGTTTTGGATGCTGTGATGCCGGCGAATGCGTTTACAAACGTTTGTAACCCGTCCAATCTGCCAGTGGCCTTCTGTGTTCTAATCATGTCAGTCATACTGCTCTCTGATTGGTCAGCTCCTCTAACTATCCGTCCCTGATGATTGTATTTAATATCTGACTGCCCTCGTGTGCGACTGAGGAGCTGGTTTGTTTTTTTGCACTGTTCTGTATGAAAACTAGATCCTACCGTCCGACTTTAAGGAGTGGGTACTAAATAAACGGTTGTTTTTCAGAAATATGGCTCCTTTCTTCTTACAAACTCTTCCTCTTGAAATAGACTCATCTTGACCTAAAAGATACAGTAGTAGACATTAAAGAGTTCCCCACTTTCCTTGATGGGTCCTTGGCTGGTCCCCTACAGTTAAGTGGGCTTCCATTTGCCGGCCGGCGTTTGACTGGGAAGGGTCATTTTGAATGGCTGCTACTGCAAGTAGTAGAGTGATTTAAAATCTTTCCAAAATGTTTTACAGAGTCTGCGGCAGGCAAGCTGTCAGATCTGATCATGGAACAAACATTTCAATTTCTCCGCTTGTCTTTGAATCTTTCCCTGGACTTTAACTAGGCCGTTCTAACACCTAATTTTGTGTTTTGAACTAAATAATTTAATTAAATCTATATGGAAGAAAAACAGTCTCATTGAAATCTGCCTTTTTTGAACACCGAATTTTAAACACTGAATTTTTTTAGACATTAAATTTCTTACACTCAATTATTATCTCGTAAAAATTCAGCTGCAAAAGTGTTGACCTTTTGGTGAACTCAAGCCAAATCCACACTCAAGCAGCTTCTAGCCAATGAAATTAGCTCATTTGGTCACGTGACACAACGGCTACGCTCTACTGAGCCGATAACAGCTAGTATAGCACCCCGGCGGCAAACTTTTTTTCTTCATTTCGGCCAGAGGCAACATGGCGGCGGCAAACAGACGGGTGCCGCACTAGCTGTGATCGGCTCAGTTGTTTCACCCAGTCTGATAAGAGGAAAAACTCTAATAGCTGTCTGTTAGTAGCTAACTGACGTTTTGTAATTCAGCCGGGAACAACGCTGAGCGCAGCCGTTGTGTCACGTGACGAAATGAGCTAATTTTATTGGCTAGTAGATTGCTTTGGCTTGAGTTCATCAAAAGGTCAACACTTTTGCGGCTGAATTTTTTTCTGGTGAATTTTTGCCAGATAAAAATTGTATGGAAGCCCGTTTCCGTCACTCTGTAAAAAATAAAAATAAAAAAATTATCTCAATATAATGATAGTATCATTATATTGAGTTACTATCTCATTAAAATTAGATAATTTTTTTTACAGAGTGGTGGAAACAGGCTTCCATAAAATTGAGTGTAAGGAATTCAATGTCTAAAAAAATTCAGTGTTTATTTTATTATTTTTTTTTTTTTTTTACAGAGCCCAACAGATTTTACTTTCACAAGTGGAGCAGTACGGCAATTGCCATATTGCTCCACTTGTTTCATGCATATAAATTGCTTTATTTTAATTATGCAGGGAGTTTTACACTTTATATGGACACTGCAATGTAAATAGAGCAGAAAAACAGAAGACGAAAAGGAAAAAAGATGAAAGAAAGAAGAGATGGAAAGGAGATAATGACAAAACATTTTCAATCTGTTTCATCACCTGTAACAAGATGAAAAAAGAACAGAACAACTAAAAGACACGGTGCAAGATATACAATAAAGCAACACCTTGAAACTATTGCTAAAGCAATATCACCAAGTCTGACATGTACTCCGTGTCAACTGAAGACACGAATGTGGGGGTCTCTGAAAAAATTCAGTGTTTCCAATGAGACTGTTTTTCTTCCATATTATTTCATGTCCAGCTGGAAGGTTAAACCTCAACTAATCCTTTCTTGCACCGCATGATGATGCCGCCACTACTGTGGTTTACCACTGCATTTTTCACTATACTGTGACTTTTATTCCTGCCTCATCATGTTTTTTTTTATATTTAGTCTTTTAAAACCCTAAAATATTTAAAGGTTTTAGTTGTAACAGGACAGAATGTGAAGTTCAGGCAGGTGGGTCTATTTGCCAAAAAGAAATACACAAACATTTATGTATAAAATTATACATTTAATAAAAAATATAATTTGAAAAACATTTGCACACAAAGTTAAATCCTTAAAAACATTTAAATAAGTGCTCGTATAAAAACGGTGTAAAGACAAAGATAACGTGCAGAGTTGCCTTAATGTAAACGTAGCAAAGGCGGCGGTAAATCCCTGAAGACGTTGAGGCTGCCCATGTAAACATCAGTGCTCCCAGACAGCCGTGGGTCATTTCTACACGCTAAGATAATCAATAAAAACCTATCATGTCTGAATTTGTAAATAAAAGTCAATAACATGAATAAGATTTGGTTTGTTCCTTGTTTTTCACTCATTCAACATGAGATGTTTCATCTGTGAGAATACAGGTTATAAAGTTACAGCTACTATACAGTATTAATCAACAATTCCTTCCCATTTAAAGGTGGCAACCACCTTTAAATGAGTGGAAGAAAAGAAATTATTTGAAAATTATACCTTTAATGCACTGATTACAACATTTCAGTAAGGATAATGTTCAATCAATGGTTCTGTTTTCTTGTTTTGAAGGATGAAAGTGAACATCCTCCAGCTGCATTAGTGCCAATAACTGGCAAGGAGTGTAAGAGCTTCATCTTTGGTCTGTTTATCTGTAGTTTTCTAATTTTGATTTACAAATTCAGACATCTTTGTTTATCATTTCCTAGACAGCCACCTGAACCTAACAGAGAAGCTCAGTAATGATAGACTCTGATCTGGTTGTTGTCATCCAGGCCCAGCTGGATCAGTCCGCTCTTAGAGGAAGCAGGTTGGTAGCGAGTGAACAGAGGTCTGGAGGGCGGAGTTAAAGGCCATGACAGTGATGGTTAATGCAGAGCGCTCACTTATCAGACAGCAGAGCAGAGAAGTCGGTGAAGAAATTAGCTTATAAACAGTTCTGTTCAGAAGACAAGTGACCATTGACAGGAATCTCATTCTGATTATGAAGTTAGTGGAAATGCTCCAAGTAGTGATGGGTGCAAAACGCTGTATCGGTGCGCGTGTCGTTTCAGGAGAGTCATGTGACCGATACAGGAGTTGTTTCTAACTGACTGACTCACTAAACTGGGTTTAAAAACTGTCAACATGATGCATCTGCTAAAAAAAGAAGAAAAAAAAAGTCATATTTTGCTGTTTATTGTAAATATTTTAACGATATTTTGGAGTATTTTACATTTTAGAGCAGCCTAAAAGGAATAGGAACATTTCAGCTGCTGTGTTTTATTTATTTATTTTTTATCACTTAAGTTATCTGAATCAAAATTAATAACAAATTGACTCTTAGTTTATTTACTGTTTTTACAGTGAGTATTGTTTTAAAAATGTGATGGGGGAGATATTTTAATTTAGTTTTTCAATTTGATTCTATTTTGCTTCCTTATTACTGCCAGGCATGATGCAGCAATATTATTTATGGTAATCTGTCATTACCTTAAAAATACCTTTTCTAAAAAGGATTCATTCATTTATAGCTTTTTTTGAAGGTGCAAATATAAAAAAAATTTTTTAATAATTAAATTAAAGCAACACATTGTAATTTTTGACCCGAGCTTTAGCTTAATTTAAGATTAAAAATAAGGGCCGGTTTTAGCTCTGATGTAAGGTTTCCTCTAAAGCCATGAATCTTTCCTCAAATCCTCAAACTTCAGGACTTTTCTATATTCAAACCACTGATCTCTATTTATTCACTGGATTGGACCGAAAAAAGTGAGGCCACCGGTCGCCATATTGGTACTCCCCACTCCAACAGAGACGCACCATAAAAATGCCTTTGTGTTTAGCATTTCACTACAAAAACAAGCAGTTTGCGGCTGTAGGAAGATGATTCACAGCTAATTTTACAGTCAGTGGATGTACTAACTAAGAAAATCCATACACACGTTGATGTTCCCTATAGTATAGTATGTAGCGTAACATTAGTCTGGCTTTCTCGGACCGACTCAACGACATTGACTGAATTAGCTATTGTCATTGTGTCTAACGTTAGAAAATAGAAAGTAATTCACTGTGAAATATCAATGTATTAATTCTTTATTAAGTTGATGACGCTGTCGTTTTTTGTAGTGTTTGTTGCATTTATCATATATATATTTATATATATATTGCATGCCTTAAAGGGATAGTTCGGGATATTTTTAAGAGTGATATTTTTGCATCCCAAAAACGTTGTAGTGGAAAAAGTCACACGTCATTATCAATTAAGCCTATTTTCTCTCTGTTCGTATCAGTGCGCGCCGTCATTCAGACAGC